TGTGTGTGTGTGTGTGTGTGTGTGTGTGGTGGCGGCTGGCACCTCCAGGGTTGTGGGTTTGAATCCCAGCCCTGTTTGGTGTGCATGGAGTTTGGATATTCTCCCCATGTTATAAAAATGTTCTTCCACAGTAGAAATATATGCAGGTAGGTGAATGACTGCCTGGGCCTTGCCTGTCATCTGTCTGCATGTGCCCTGTGATGAGATCGGCTGCCTGTCTACAGTATACCATTGCCCTATCCTTCCTGTTCTGGGAGGATAATCATAGTTAAGATGATAGTGTAATTTCATATGCTTCCAACAGATGGCAGCATGACCCTAAATCTATATGTTTAAGACCAATGTTAGCAAGAGGAAGAGGAAGTTTGTGTCAACCTGTCTGACTGCACTGTTTATTCTTTATTATATAGCACATAAAAATAAGGACCACAGCTGCACCTGCACATCTGATTCTGGACTTACACTGGAATGGTAAAAAGCAGTAGATTTACTATAACAAGGATTTAGTCTTTTACCCCAGTCGCCATGGTTTTCATGTTCATCCATAATGGTGAAGAGGAGCAGGTTACCTTGGAAATGCTTGACCGCACATTCCCTCAGGGAGAAGAAGATGTCACACATGACAGTAGGACAACGAGCTCCAGATGTGGTGATGGCCCTGAAGATCCGATCCACATACTGCCGCAGATTTTCCTTAGAATCGAACACAGAACCGTGTTTGTTTGCAGACAGATCGTCAGGCACTTGCATCAACACCTACACTATTACAAATGGACTAACACAGCTATACTGACACAGACAGACAAACACAAACATATGCACTTACATAAACATACTGTATTCTACACTCTTACACATACGCCTACAACCCACTCTGTTTGTTTCCGGATTGTCTGACTCCTTCAGCTTCCCGGGGTCAATCTCACAGGGTTTGTGGCTTGTGCAGATCTGCAAGATAGCAGATCACTCTCATAACCCATTGTTTGTTTTTGAGATGAGACTGTCAATTAACTAAAGTCAGGCTTCCTCATCATCTGTTACAGTATTTGGACTCAGGCCTCATGTAATCGTGTAATCGTAAGTTTCCAAAACCGTAGAAAACCAGAGAAATGTACTGCTTAAGTCCTGAAAATGTGTTCTTCAATTGCTTAATCAAAAAGGATACCCACTGGTCATTGGTTTATTTAGCATTTAATATTTCATCAATGCCCAGCATCAAATCCTGTCCGTTTTTTGAATCAGTCCCCTGTTCTGGAGAACCTACAGTATGGCTGATGATTGGAGGCTGTGCGCATTCCGATTCTTATTGCCTCACTGATGATGCAAAGACAGCTGAGTATATGCGTCCTCAGGTGTGTTTGTGTGTGTGTGTGTGTGTGTGGGGGGGGGGTTGGGGGAGTCTCACCTCATCTATGATTGGCCCCAAAGTTATCTGCAGGTAGTGCCTGCCAGCCAGCTTCATGACTTCATCGATACATTTGGATGCCAGTGAATTCCCCCGAAAAATGGTGTTGGGATCCCTGCAGACCAAGCAGCAGAGCCATGGGCGTCACCACAGAGAAGCACCCCTCCCTTTCTCACCCACACCCTTCCTCCTCCACCCCTCCCCTGCTCACTGCGTTCTGCTGATCTCTGCGCTGGCGACGGCGCTCACGAAAGGCACAACCTTCCCGTAGTGCAGGAAGAAGTGGACGAGCGGCGCGGCTGCCTCCTGCTTCTCCCTGCACACTTGCCCCAGGACGTGGCCCGCCGAGGCCGACACCGGCTGCGGGGAGACGGGGGGGTCAGTGACATCACCATGCCCAGAGAGGGGCGCTGCATTATCCGGCGACCGCTACCACACGGCCATAAGAACTAATCAACCACCTCCCTGGCGCTTCTGCCACCATCTGGACAATGCATGCTAATGCACGGCACCCAGTTTGGAAGGACCTGCGACCGACCTGAACACACGCAGACACACATACCTGCAAGCAGGCCGATTTCAGCAGCAGCTCTTTCAGCGAGCCGTACGCTTCCGAGGTGAGGACATGGTCCTCAGTGTAAATTATATTCAGCCGTAAGGAGCCCAGTTCTTCTGGTTTCACGGACTTGCTGCCGTTATCCCTGGGCTGTAGGAAGTACCTGTGACATAGACAGGCAGGGGTCTGTCACATACACAATCCACACCGTCAGGGCATATGCAAACTAGGCAACTGCCAAGGGCCCAATCAGCAGAAGGGGTCCCGACTCTCCGGTCCAATTGAAATACATTTCTGGCTACAGAGCTGCCTAGGGCCCCGGGAAAATGATATCTGGCCCTGCACACCATGGGAGAAAATGGGAACATGGGCATTATTAAGCAGATAGGCAGGGGACAGGAAGAAGGATGATTACGGGCTGAACTATCAGGGTGATGTACAGGCCTGAGAGAAACAGATATACAGACAGAGGGGCCCCCTCTTCAAAACAGCGTGCCCATACTCACCATGCATTATGGCAGCCAGATGCAGTCAGTACTGTCAGAGGGATACTGACCTCTCCCAAGAACTCATCTCCAAGTTTCAGGTTGCTGGATTTCCACAGGTCTACCCTGCAGCAGAACCAGGCTCCAGATTGCAGTATAGACTATGTGCAAACTCTTTGCTGCATATATGCACACGCGCACACACACACACACACACCCCTCATGCTCCAGTTCCACTGGCACACATTCCAATATATTGTTAGAATTTTTAAATTCAATAAACTGCCCATCACCCTTCAAGCAACATGTCGTATACTGAGGTCTCGTGACTATAACTGGGTTATTTGTGTCAAATTGCTCAATCTTATTCTTCACAAAATGTTTTATTTGGTGGGTATACCATTCCATTCTGTCTCCAGTCACCCAGACTGCAGTAGCAAAACCAGTCTCAAAACATGGCAGTTCAGTGACTTTTTTGGTAATTTTTAGTAAAGTTTATGGCTCCTTTACTTTTTGTGATTTTTAGATGTGTTGATACTCTCCTTGCATGGACCCTATTCCTCCCAAAAAAGCCCCTATGAATCTGTCATTTCCTGCTCAGCACCAATATAACATGGTGCCATACAGTACATCCATACAAACTCAGTCTCTCTCTTTCTCACACACAAACCTCAGTACTACTTTGTCAGTATCTTCTTCGCTGGCATCAAAGTTTTGTTTAATGTTGTAGTTCTGCATCTGTATGCAAGAGATAGAGTGTGAGATGTCAATCAAATGAAGGAACAGTAAACAGCAGCGACTGTGTGACCAGTGTCAGCACCACAAATCATTCATGTATCTGCACGTGCTTGTATATTTCCCTATTTCTGCATTTGTGCACTTGCAAGTGTTTGTTTATAAGTATGTTAGTGTGTATGTGTATAAGGGATCTTTTTATAAAATATCATTTCTTAGCAGAAAGTTGCACACCTCAAAATAGAAGACTTCATCAAAATGGGGGCTGTTGGTCTTCTTCTTCACTCTGGTCTTCTTGCCCTCGGACCTGGGAGAGGTTAGCAGTTAGAACAGGCCTGAGCTACTTCTTCGGCGTGTGCACCATGTGACAGGTCACCTGCTCTTACCCGGAGGGCGTGATCAATAACACTGTAGCATAGGGGTCACATTGTCCATTGACGATGGGCAAGTCCTGGCACTCCAGCACACTGGGGGAACACGAGGGTACAGGTCTAAGCGATATCAGCTAAGTGCTTATAATGCACTGGAGATGTGGATTTTCACTGCAATTCTCTAGTTAGATTACTAATTAGAGGACTGACTGGCTGAAGAGTCCTCATACCTGTGTTTGAACACACTGGCCCTTTGAGGATTTAAAGTTACATTTAACGTAATTATGTATTAACATAACACCAAAACACCCAACTGTATTTACAGAAAAGGAAAAGTAGTTTTCCCATGACCTTGTGCTGGATAGGCAAGTACAGGATGGATAGATGGATGAAAAATGGCACAGGTTTTGAGGTGACGCTTTCCTGTGAAGCCTAACAGCCACTGGACTTTCCCTGATAAAGAGAACAGCTGCCGGTGGCCCCCACCATCTACACCCACAATGCACCTGCAGTTAGGAGCCCAGCTTGCTGCAGGTCTCCCGCATCATATGTGACACACTGTGTGCTGATGCGAGGAGAACATTCAGACTGCAGAGGAGCAAACTCACCGCGTCATCAGTCTCTGAGCAACAGTGCCACTGTCTGTGATGACATCACTCAGCTGTATCTCCACATGGACTTTCCCCTGTGAACGAACAACAAAGACTCCCTACTTCCTGTTGCCTGTCCCTTACACTTTCTCACCTGTGGGTGAGCCTGTGTCAATGAAGGTTAAAGGTTAAAGAATTAGCTATTGCATGTGTCACTGTATGTGTGTGTCAGACACCGTGTTTATGTGAGCAGCTTTTTTTGTGAGGGGCAGTAAAAAGGACACAATAGTTATCCTATGCAACATTATATAAAATCATTCAACCATTAGCACTACTGGGGATCTTTGCTGTCTGCTGCCAGGCACATAACTGTGTGTAACTATGTTGTGCCTGTATACACCAAATGTACAATCTGTTCACTAATTTTAATTAGTTTATTTGTGCACAACATAGTTTGTGTGCATTGTCTATCTATCTATCTATCTATCTATCTATCTATCTATCTATCTATCTAATCAGTTGGGTCTGTATTTCCATCATTACACCACTTCCTGTTTACAAACAGGAGTTGCACCTGCTCACCTGCACCTCAGAATCTGCACTGATTGGCTGCAGCTGGAACCAGGTGTCTTTGCCCTGGTACTTTGGCAGATACTCCTTCTTCACAGCTACTTTGCCTTGAAAAAAACATAATCACATTGGAATGTCAGGAGCCAGGGCTCAGTGTATGATTGATTACTGATTAACAAAATATCCTTTTATCCATCTTCTGTAACTGCTTGTCCTATT